CACACACACACACACACACACACACACACACACACACACACACACACACACACACACACACACACACACACACACACACACACACACACACACACACACACACACACACACACACACACACACACACACACACACACACACACACACACACACACACACACACACACACACACACACACACACACACACACACACACACACACACACACACACACACACACACACACACACACACACACACACACACACACACACACACACACACACACACACACACACACACACACACACACACACACACACACACACACACACACACACACACACACACACACACACACACACACACACACACACACACACACACACACACACACACACACACACACACACCACACACACACACACACACACACACACACACACACACACACACACACACACACACACACACACACACACACACACACACACACACACACACACACACACACACACACACACACACACACACACACACACACACACACACACACACACACACACACACACACACACACACACACACACACACACACACACACACACACACACACACACACACACACACACACACACACACACACACACACACACACACACACACACACACACACACACACACACACACACACACACACACACACACACACACACACACACACACACACACACACACACACACACACACACACACACACACACACACACACACACACACACACACACACACACACACACACACACACACACACACACACACACACACACACACACACACACACACACACACACACACACACACACACACACACACACACACACACACACACACACACACACACACACACACACACACACACACACACACACACACACACACACACACACACACACACACACACACACACACACACACACACACACACACACACACACACACACACACACACACACACACACACACACACACACACACACACACACACACACACACACACACACACACACACACACACACACACACACACACACACACACACACACACACACACACACACACACACACACACACACACACACACACACACACACACACACACACACACACACACACACACACACACACACACACACACACACACACACACACACACACACACACACACACACACACACACACACACACACACACACACACACACACACACACACACAACACACACACACACACACACACACACACACACACACACACACACACACACACACACACACACACACACACACACACACACACACACACACACACACACACACACACACACACACACACACACACACACACACACACACACACACACACACACACACACACACACACACACACACACACACACACACACACACACACACACACACACACACACACACACACACACACACACACACACACACACACACACACACACACACACACACACACACACACACACACACACACACACACACACACACACACACACACACACACACACACACACACACACACACACACACACACACACACACACACACACACACACACACACACACACACACACACACACACACACACACACACACACACACACACACACACACACACACACACACACACACACACACACACACACACACACACACACACACACACACACACACACACACACACACACACACACACACACACACACACACACACACACACACACACACACACACACACACACACACACACACACACACACACACACACACACACACACACACACACACACACACACACACACACACACACACACACACACACACACACACACACACACACACACACACACACACACACACACACACACACACACACACACACACACACACACACACACACACACACACACACACACACACACACACACACACACACACACACACACACACACACACACACACACACACACACACACACACACACACACACACACAGACATACACTTCCCGAAAATGTCAAACGAATTCAGGGATTCCAATACGTAACGATTCGTCAAAAACTCGAGGTCGCAAAAATCCTATACTTTCCTTACTGGTCACAGGGAAGTAAAAGGCTACCCAGCGACGGGGGGCACTATTTGTAACTTACATACCAATAAACGGATTTTGTCCAAAAATTGTTAAAAATAATAAACATGTTATGATCTTTCCATCTAAAATATTTTGAGTTTTGTCATTCCCGCTTATACGGGAAGTAGATGTCAATTTTGTTATTTTTTATATTATTTTTAATTCTGGCTGGATTCCCATAGAACATGAATTTTTAGGATCACCTAAATAAAGTGTAGGTTGTAGGTATAAACAAAATTAACAAAATTTTCAAAAAAAAAACATTGCGGGTATTAAAATATTTATTTACTTACTTACTTACTTAGTTACTTAATTTTTTATTTGACTTGAGACATTATCTGGAATCCCATTTATAATGTTCAGATATCTTCAATTATACGCATACAAAGACATTTTTTCAAAGCTGTCTGTCAAGCTATTGATGGTAACCAGTGGCGGCTTGCAATAATTTAAAATGGGTGTTCACTTTTTCCAATAATTTTATCATTTGTAAGTTCGGTTCAAAACCTTGTACAAGTGTAGTTATTATTATCAATATCATACTGTTTTCAAGCACTACAACTATTAATGAATGAATAAATGAATATTTTAGTTATTGTAATATTTGTTTTGTTTTTAATAAGTTAAAAACCATCTATAAACATTATTAGTTAGTCAGCTGACTTTTCTTCATATTTTGAGATTATTTTTTAATGTAAAAAGCTTGACATTGATTTTTGTGAAAAAAATATTATATGAAACTACCTACCGTTTTTCAGTTTTTATTGTAAATTTAATCATTTTCAAAATTTGTCACACATGTTAAATAAAATAATACATACATACATACATACATACATACATACATACATTTTTTAAATACCCTTTATTGGCAAAAAACAAGTGAACTAAAATGTGTATTTTATAAGATCAGTCCCATCACAATACATAATATTACACAGATACAAACTAGAATGAAGATATATAATGCGTGGCATTCTAAATTATAAGTTTCACAGTTTAACAGACCCCCTTAACCCCCATTTTCAATCAGATTATTTTCAGAATCAATAGGCTTCATCCCTTTGTAGAGCTTGATTTTTCCAATTTTTTTTCCAAAGTTGATATTATTGTTTCTTTTTGAGTTAGATTTATTTGAAATATTTCAGCCCCCCTTAACCCCCCCCCCCCACTTTTATTCAATTTTTCTTTTTCACAATCAATAGGCCTCATCTCCTTATAGAGCTTGATTTCTACTAAAAATTTCATGTTGATATCGCTTTTCATTTATGATTCTTTTTTAATTTTAACCCGCCTTAAACCCCCATTTTTAATCAGATTTGTTTTTTTCAAAATTAAAGGGCTTCTTCTCCTTATAGAGCTTGATGTTTGCTAAAAATTTTAAGTTAATATCATTTTTCGTTTTTGAGTTAAGATTTTTTTACATTTTAACCCTCCCTAACTACCCTATTTATTAATTTTTTTTTTCAAAATCAATAGGCTTTATCCCTTCTTATAGAGTTTCATTTTTACTAAACGTTTCATGTTGATATCGCTTTTCGTTTTTAATTTAGGATTTTTTTTTTTTAATTTCAACCCATCCTAATCCCCTATTTTTAATCAGATTTTTTCATAAACAATAGACTTTGTCCCCTTATAGAGCTTGGTTTTTGCCTTCAATTTTCAAGTTGATATGATTTTTCGTTTTTGACTTATCGTGCAGACAAAAACCGTGACTATGAAGACTAGAAATAAAGAGGCGAATCGGCATACTCAAAATACGGTCCCAAAAAAGGCATGCTGCTAATTGAGCTTCTAACCGCATGGGCGCTGGTACTGCATACGGTGTTTAAAATACATGGCTTCTTATGGGAATTATACACAATTTTGTCAAAATAATAAAAATAAACTTGTTTATAGCTAAATAAAGCACAGAACATACTGTTGTATTTATTTCTAAATAAGTCTTGCATGTTTTAATTAATAAATTATTTAATTTTATCTATATAAAATACAAATTAAGAATGTATGACCAAATTCGAAAAGGTTTATTAAATGCTGAAATTTGATAAGTACAATTTTGTGGCAAAATTGTTTTTTAATTGAACCAATATATAGTTTTAAAAGTAAAATAAAACACAGTTAACAGATTTTTTATTGTTGTAATACAAGTACAAAGGGATATTTGGGAATGGACATGGTATTACTTAATCCTTTAATTTCAGCTTTCCCCTTTTTATTTTGCTAATAGCACCATCAGTAAAACTAGTCTCATAATATTTGATAATATCTTCTAAAAAGTATAGAACAGCATCATCTCTAGAAAGTGCTTTATCGGCTCTAGGAACAATATATGTACTGCCACTGTTCTAAACGTTTAGTATCCTATAAAAACATTTACAATGACACAATTGAGGTTCAAAAAAAAAAAAAAAATAACAGTAGCAACTCTTTATCTAACATTAAAACTATAAAAAATTAATTTTCTTTTCTAGTAAGTTAAATTTAGTGCATAATTATTGTTGTTTGTAAGTCAGCATCTATAACTGTAAAATTTTATATTATAGAAACTTGTAATAAAATAAACTACACTTCGTAAGATACTTATTGTGACTAGTTTACAATAAATATTATATTTGGACATGAATACATTATTTTACTTACATTAGAAGCTTTAGAAAGACATTGAATTGATTTCTTCTTGTGTTTTCTTTAGTTTTACATTTGATTTTTATCCTGTTTTATAATCTGGAACGACGTAAATCTTGCTTTGATGTTTTTTGTCACTCATGTTACTTGTACTCCGGTACTTTTTTTCACATTATTTTGATTCTTTTCACGAATTTTTTAAAAAATCACTTCATTTTACATTGAGTTACATAGAAAATTGACTCCGCTGTCATTAGACATGCCAACTACAGTCAATTTCGCGAACTATAAAAAGAAGGACGGAAATTTGAAATTTGACCATTGTCGATTCGCCTCCTTCTCTCTAGTCTTCATAACCGTGACATCGGACAAAGTAAACCTATAATACTATTTATAGACTACTGTATGAAAAGTAGAATAATAATATAATCAAGGCTAAAACAATAACATAATAGCCTACAAAATGGGTATACTAAAAGAATGCTAGAGTCTAAGAGTTGAAAATTATTTAATAGATATATCAGTACTTCGGAGATAAACTGTGCTGTCATTCTAGTCAGCTTTTTAGCAGAGCAGACTGAATGTTGGTTGAACACTTTTCGTGTTCTATATTTACATATAATAATTATATTTCGACAAGAAATTCAGTTGGCCCCAATTATTGTCACAATATGTATTGTTTACCAATAATCTAACTATTAAAACTTTTTTTAATATACATGAATTGTTGGTTTTTGTAACATATGTCTATGTTCTGATAACAAATTTTCTGACATACCTAGTGACTTATACCTCCAACATACCTCTATAAATAGTACGACTAACGTGAGAGTTAAATAGTGTTGTTTAACATTTAATTTGTAAGTTTATTAAACATTGAACATAGTGTTCTTTTTTTAATGTCAACTTATATTGTGACATCATAGAATTCCCCTGAAAAGGTCTCGATGAGCCGATTTTAAAAATATAACCCTGTCTACATAGTTTACCTCCCAGAAATATCGGTAAATATTTAATTTAATCTCTATGATATAGGTACATACCTAACATAGACACAACTATTAAGTTTCTTGAATTAATTTAGGCCAGTACAATATTTATATTTTATTTCCTCTTTAAAAAAACTGTAATAAAATCCTCAGTGCTATATCAATCTGACATTGTTTATTAGTACATCTGGCATTTATAGGCAGGGCATTTTTCTATAACTTCAAGGGACAACCTACAAAATAAACAATTATTCATATAAAATTGTACTAGGGTCAAGAAAGTTGGAAATAAACATAACCTCAACAAATAATAGTAATTTTTTGCCTGACGTTTTTCGGTAACAATCGTTGAATTGACATACATACTTCCGATTTATTAAAGTCGCAGTTTTATTTAAACTTAATTTTTAATACAATTCACAATTAAAATTGTCTCATGTCGATTTTTAGAATTTGACCGCTTGATTGGAAAGTTATAATATGAAGTAGGTAGATACGGAATAAGGAATATTTTGTGATATGACAAGTGAAGGCACTTTGCGTCATATTTTGATTAATTTAAAGTTAATAATTTTATATTTGTAGATTGACGGAATGAAAATGTTTTTATATCATTTAAATCACGCTTTAAAAAAAAAATTGCATTTATTATCACCAAAACTAACTAGCTTGAGTTTGACATATGTCGTAAAAGACTAATGCAAAAGTGCAGACAGGTTTAGTACCGTTATTGCTTCTCTATATCTATGATTTGAAAGATTGGTATGGCCCGTCCTACTTTGTGACGTCACGGTGTGCGTTGCGCAAATTAGGCTGATTTAAGTTATTTTATAACAGTTCCACTACGTTTCAGGGATCTGTTATCGTGTGACATCTCTTTTTAGCTAAAGATTTTCAAGAATGCCTCTTACTCCTTCTGGCTCACTTATAAAAGCGCGCCACGAAAACGCGATTAGCCAGAGCGCAGTGGCGTACCCAAAAATAGATATTAACACGTACGAAAACAATAAAATTATAAAAATTGAATTAATATTTTTATGTTATCTATTTAAAAATAATGTGTTTTAATGAAATGTAACTGGGTGTTCATTGCACAAATGAACCAATGTAGAAACCGCCCCTGATGGTAACTATCCACCGAGAGGTATTCCTCAACAGTATTTTTATAATCGCTTCAATACTAATAGCTTACTGAGAAGGCGAATAATGCAATCTGTTCTGTTTTTACACAAACTCATCAATAATGAAATAAACTGCATTTTATTTATTAATCTCTTAAACTTTCGCACTCCAAGAAATAATTCTCGCCTTAATCAGGTATTCTATTAAAATACTACTAGGACCAATATATGTAAGGCTTCTTCTCTTTACTTAATGATTCAAAACTATTCTGAGGTTGAATCTCAGATTGACATTTTTAATTGTAGTATAACCGTTATAAGAACTTATTTCCTTAATATTATAATGTGAATTTTTTAGTGTGTATTCAATTTATGTCTAAATATATTGTATGCCATTTCTGTATACGTTTTATAATATTCAAATGTTATTTTCCATAATTATATAGTTTTTCACCTTATCCTGTAATTGGGAATTACCCTGTTGGATACTGTACAATAAATAAATAAATAAATAAATAAATAAATAAATAAATAAATAAATAAATAAATAAATAAATAAATAAATAAATAAATAAATAAATAAATAAATAAATAAATAAATAAATAAATAAATAAATAAATAAATAAATAAATAAATAAATAAATAAATAAATAAATAAATAAATAAATAAATAAATAAATAAAT